CACCTCAATCTGACTCAGGTCTTTCAACACCCCTCTTGAAATCAGCGGTTCTGGAGTGGGCAAGCACTTCTTATCTTCCACAGTGAAGACAGAGGCAAAAAATGCATTTAGCTTCTCAGCCATTTCCCTATCATCCTTCAGTACTCCTTTAACCCCTTGGTCATCCAAGGGCCCCACTGCCTCCCTGGCTGGTTTCCTGCTTCTAATGTATTTGAAGAAAGTTTTATTGTTGGTCTTTACGTTTTTTGCTATATGCTCTTCATATTCCCTTTTGCCTGCCTGACCACAGACTTGCATTTTATTTGCCATAGCCTGTGTTCCGTTTTATCAGCCTCACTGCGAGTAGCTTTGCACTGCTTAAAGGAATCCTTTTTACCTTTTACAGCTTCCATTACTTTGTTTGTTAACCATGCAGGCTTTTTCCTATACCTGTTTGTGCCTTAACTAACCTGCAGAATATATTTTTTGATCTTCTAGGATCGTAGTTTTAAATAGTTTCCAAGCTTCCCCAATGGTTTTGACCCTTTCTACTTTTCCTTTCAGTTTCCTCCCCACATGTCCCCTCATATCAGAGAAGTTGCCCCTTTTAAAGTTAAAAGTGGTTGTGTCAGTCTTTTTGGCCAATTCCCTATTTATACAAATGTTGAACTCAAGTTGATATACTTGAGCTGGCATGCCTCTCTCTTTACAAATTAACCACCAGAATTTTCCTTCAGTGTACTGCTGTCTGTTTTACTAGCCTTTGTTTGGACCTTCCAAATTCTCCCATGTCTATGTCTCAGATTATGAATTGTGGTGTAAATAGAAATGATTAATTTCATGAGAAAGGGTATTTGATAGTTTGAAATGCCTGCAGTCCCACATAAACCCAGCAGGTGTTGCTGTTGGACTGTAATTGAAAAACAGAGGGTGGGAAATGAATGAATGGAAAGTCTGTTTTAATGCAGATTTTAAAAATCCCCTGGGGATGGCTTTGGATACAGGAAATGGGGGGCGGGGTGAGAAAAGCAACAACATATGCTGTGATCACAAATCATAATAGGCCTTGAGCAATGGAGCTGCAGTCCCACAACAGACCAGACAGGTCCCTGGAAGCTTAGAGGAAAAGGTTAGATTGCCCTGAGGGTAAAGATTTGATGGTGTTTACTTATTTGTTTGTTTATTACATTAGGCTTTTATACTGCCCTCCCCGCAAGCAAGCTCAGGGTGGTGCACAACACTTTAATATAAAATACCTATAAAATAATTAAATAATCTAAAAATATAATTCTATAAAACCCAATATCACATGGAACCATAATACAATCCTGCCCCCCTAATTTACTTTGGCAGTGGGGGGGGGAAGTAGTTAGTGAACCGGCTAGTTGTAAAGAACCTATTAAAACCATTAAAACTGTTGCTGTTCCCAACCATATGCTCAGTGGAAACATCTCTGCTTTGCAGCGAGCTCTATGGAATTGTAACAAATCCTGCAGGGCCCTGATCCTAGTAGGCAGAGAGTTCCACCAAGATGGAGTCAGGGCTGAGAAGGCCCTGGCTCTGGTTGAGGACAGCTGGATGCTCTTTGGGCCAGAGACTTCCAGTAGGTGTTGGTCACTTGAGCTTAACGCTTTCTGGGGGACATACCAGAAGAGGCAGACCCATTTAAAGTCTTAAAGGTCAAAACCAAAAGATTGAACCAGACCTGGTACTCAACTTCAAGCCAGTGCAGCTGGCGAAGCTTGGGTTGTATGTGTGCAGTTATCTGTGTCCCCATAAGGACCCGTGCCACTGCATTCTGTTTTTGTAATTTTTTTTAAAAAACAATTTATTAGGATATATTAAAAAGTTAAACATATGCCAATATATAATTCATTATACATCCTTTCCTCCTCAATTCCCTCCCCCCTTTTCAGCTTCCCACAGTGCTCCAACCTCCTGCTTCATTCTTATATTCACTTCATTTCACTCTTTTTCATAATACATCTCTAAGTAACATGCATTCTGGACGTTGTAACCTCCAGATCAGTGAATTCGGATTCAGCTGTGCCCGTTCAGATTCTTGATATGTACTGAGAGTCACAATGGCTCACACCTAGAACTTCTTTTCATTCTTATGGTTCAGACTTGGAAATATGAAAGAAGACAAATTTCCAAATATGTAACCAGGCTTTTGAGGATGTCATGGAGCTTGAAACAACCTTAACCCTTGGACTGAGCACTGATACTCCTCACACATTGTACTTACTGCTGAATGCTATTCACTGCCCACGGTATTCATTTGTCCTGCAACAGACTGTCTTGTACTGATTTAAAAGCAAATAAAGGATTTTATTTTGGTTGACAATGTGCCAAAAAAAGGGCTTATGACAAGGTGAGAAGAGAAAAAACTGCCTTATAATATCCTGCCAGCTATTTTTACTGACCAGCTGAAGCATATAAAATGGCAGATTGTGCACTCACATTAGTGAGTCTGCAGATACACCTCACTCAGAGATTTAACAGCCAGACTGGGCTGTCAAGGTGAGAGGAAAAATGGCTGGAAGCTCAGGTCCCTTAGAGAAGGATGGAGTTAATTAGGTGCGTAATTTGGAATGTGGTGTTTTGCACATGATACGTTGGGGGGTCTTGGCAATGTCAGGGGGTGGTTCAAAGGCAGTCTTGAGCTGTCCTTTTGCAGTGGCTCACA